CATCAGAGATTGGACTCACACAACAGGAAATGACTTAATCCATCAAGCCCAGAACAGAGAGAAATTTGCCATATTGATCGCCAACCTCAATAAAGAAGGCACTTAGGAGGAGGAACTTTAGGTAAATATAAAGTACTAGCAATTTATATATTGTAGCAACATCAAGAGCACCTAGAGATCGTGATCACACCACCAAAGTCAAACAAGAACTTAAAGTACTAAAGTCTGCATGCCCGCCTACTTCTGAATATTCTGACGAGTTTACTCCAGAAGAAATTATTTCAGCCATATCAGAAATTAAGTCTGAAAAGGCACCCGGCTCCGATAAAATTCATTCAGAATTTTTACTCCACTGTGGCAAATATGCTAGGAAATGGCTGGCTGATTTCTATACAGATATGTTAAAATCAGGAGAAATCCTCCATTCATTAAAAAAGGCCTCCATTATAGCCATATTAAAACCAGGAAAGGCAAATAATCAGCCTCAAAACTACCGTCCGATTGCTTTGCTGAGCTGTGTTTATAAACTGTTTGGAACGCTTAATCTACAACAGAATTAGTAGAAAAGTATTTCAATTGATACCTATTGAGCGAGCAGGATTCAGACCTAACCGCAGATGCACAGATCAGATCCTATCCTTAACAACACATATTGAAGCTGGTTTTCAAAGAAAACAAAAAACATCCGTTGCTTTGATTGACCTATCAGCTGCATACGATACTGTCTGGAGACAAGGACTAATCTGCAAGCTAATCCGTGCCGTCCCGTGTCAAAAGGTAACTAAACTTATTGATAACATGCTCACCGACAGACCTTTTCAAGTCACAATAAACAATTCTAACAGTTTCCAAATAAAGCTCAGCAATGGACTGCCACAGTAATCTGTTTTGGCACCCTTACTGTTCAATTTATATATCGCGGACCTACCTAGGACAACTTCGCAGAAATTTGGCTACGCTGACGATTGGGCCATTGCAGCAAGACATAATAACATGGATATCACAGAAACAATATTAGCGGATGACCTTGCCATTATGGGAGAATACTTTCGCAAATGGAGGCTACGGCCTAATGCAACGAAAACCGAAGAGTGCTGTTTCCATCTGAATAATGCCCAAGCCAACAAAGAACTCTCCATCCACTTCGAAAACAGACTGCTCACTCATAACTCAACACCAAAATATCTTGGAGTGACTCTGGACAGAACATTGAGTTTTAAAGAACATCTTCAAAGAACGACAGCAAAACTGAAAACGAGAAATATTATAGTCCAAAAGCTATGTGGCACTACATGGGGGTATTCAGCCTCCGTACTCAGATCATCCGCTCTCGGACTTGTATACTCGGTGGCTGAATATGCTTCCCCGGTATGGCTCAATAGCAAACACACAAAGATTATTGACACTCAATTAAACCAGACAATGCGAATGATTTCAGGTACAACTAGACCCACACCGAACTATTGGCTTCCCATTCTGAGTCACATTCCACCGCCGAAACTGCAAAGAAGTCATTTTCTTCTCAGAGAATATCGAAAAATTGAGGCTAACCATCAACTACCTATACACCAAGATAAGCTTGATATCGAAATAAACAGACTGCGCTCCAGATATCCTCCATTGCTAAGAGCCAACTCCTTACTTCAGGAACATTTCAACCTGACCAAAGCTTGGAGAACACAATGGGAGAGCGACTCACTACAGGAAGCACATCAAATGGCCTGTATCGATCAGAAACCGCCAGGCTTTGAACTGACCCGCAATACATGGACAACGCTAAACAGAATAAGATCAAGCAGCGGTAGATGTGCTGACAGCTTATATAGATGGGGAAAAGCCCTTACTCCTGAGTGTGACTGTGGTGCGCAACGACAGACCGTCCGTCACATTGTTGAAGAATACCCCGAAGGCGAATCCGTGGAGTTTTCGATGAGTTCCTGAATGCGACCGAAAATGTTTTACATTATATTAACCCTTCAACGGCGAAATTTATTTTTTGCAAAAAAGGAAAGGAAAAATCATAAATATTGGTCAAAACACTTTATTAAACATATTGGTACAAGTATTTTTTTAAAATATATGTAATTTAAAAAAAATAGTCGTTACGTTTTGGTAACGCTAGCCGGTTAGGGTATACAAAAAATTTTTGGACAAGAAAATTATCACTTTGGGCTGTGAAACATTATATTGCACTCTAGACATAATCCTACATCACATTTGACACACATAGTACGAATACTTGAGCTACAACCTTCTCCAGCACATCGACGCCTCTTATTATTCTGGATGTTTATCAAAAAATGGTGTGTTCTGTCATATCTCAAGTTATCCGAAACCCTATTAAAAGATAAACTTGATTTAGCAGCCGCAGGTCTTCCAGCACCTTTTGAAGCCATGCCATATTTTATCAGATAGGCTTGAGCAATCTCTCGTCTGAATTCTAGTTGGGTAAGCTGTGTTTGATATTTACACTTCTTGGATATACACCAAGCATTGACTATAGCAGCTTCTAGTAGCCAAGTAAAAATTGACCACCACCACTTCTTTCTACGAATTGAAATCCTGTATCTGGATATCTGCTGGTCCATGAAGTCAGTGCCTCCCATAAATCGATTATATTCAGAAATCAGATAAGGTTGTGGTACTTGAATAATTTTTTTTTCGGCTCGAGAGTAGCGTTTTACTTGAGTGACTGGATTGACGCCATGACATGTAGATGCTACTGTCACTACATTATTACCCATCCACTTGACTAATATTATTGCATCTTCTTTGTCGATGACAGATATCGTGTCTCCTCTTTTTTTCGATTTCGAAATAATACTTTTTTTAGGTAACTCACAACTTGTAGGAATTCTATTTTCCCTCATAGTTCCCGTACTATTATACCCTCTTTTTTTCAAGGAATATAACAAATTAAAGCTTGTGAAGAAATTGTCGAAGTAAAATGTGAACGCAAGCTTTTTTATATCATCCGAAAATTCATCTATCATGCAAAGTAGATGAGCAGCACATTTTCCAAAATTGCTTTCGTAACTAGTGTTTGACTTTGGGTTTTTTCCTTGATATATATCAAAGTTCAAAAATTAACCAGAAGTAGAGTTTAGGCACCACATTTTATACCCAAATCTGATGGGCTTACCCCGAATAAACTGTTTACACGAATGCTTCCCAAAGTATTTGATCATAGCCTCATCGTAATTCAAGTTCTGTTCAGGTATCAAGTTGTCAATAAAGCGGCGTTTCAAAAGGCCCATCAGTGGGCGTAGCTTCCACATTTTGTCACCATGTACAGTGTACAGGCTGTGTGTTGTCGGCGCAGTGCAAATATTTTAAAATTTGGCGAAACCGATCTCTTCTCATAGATTCAGTGACTAAAATATTTTTCATATCTTGTTTGGAATCCCTGTAAAAGTCCCTTCCAGGTAACTTATTATATCCTGTAACAATCATAATCCCAATTACACATTTCATTTCTTCGTTAGAAATGTTTGGATCCGGTTTATTGCAGAAAAGTGCGTATTTTCTTGATTCAGTCACAAGTAGTTCAATTATTTCGCTATCAACAAACATCTCAAATATATCTAAATAGTCCATATCACTATATTTACTATAATCTGGTTTAGGAAAATACCTGCTCACACGTTCAAAGTCACCTTCAATCTAGGATATTTTTTCTGACCCAGGGCGGACGATATTTGACACTGGCTCCGATTCAGGTACATCGATAAAAGCTCTGACAGCACGAGGAGGGACGATTTCAGCTCCTGGTGTCAACTGTCGACCGCTTAAATTATCTAGAAATCCGCCACCATCTTCATCACCAGAATCCTCATCGGTAAGGACATTCGCATCAGGAGGCTCGATGAATATTTCATGAACGTCCAGGTTTTCTTCATAAACCATTTGCAATGCTTCTTCCAGCGTAAACCCATGCCTAAAAGTAATAAATGAATATACTAGACAATTATTAATACATAAACAAGAGTCCTAGCTTTTCTGATCGCATATATACCACATACTCAACACGCAAGACATTTATACACGTACAATATTTTTTGTCTCCCTAAACCAGCTAGCGTTACCATACGGTAACGCCAATATTTCTGAGGTTACATTATAGAACTTGAAATACTTTCATAACAAAATTTGGTCTAGAACTGAAGAATAACTATCTATAAATACTCTTTTGTAAGTATTTTTCATAACAATTCAAAACGAAGTTTTAGTAATACTTACTCTAGACGGATGTCCAACTCATTGTTGCCAGAGTTGGTACAATTGTACCAATTTGATACAATTAGCCAATATTTGTACAAAAGTACAATTTAATCATTTTTGGTACATTTTCAAAATGTTGCCACCTAAACCACCTTAACTATATATCTGTACCTATGCAATCCAAAATTATGTGGAATGTTCGTTTTTCATTAAAAAGAGAATGCCCCTAATATAACAATGTCTGCCATCTAACATTGTGTCCATCTGTTAGTGAGGTATAATACTTATAAAGCTGTCAATTGATCATGAATAACATAAGTTCTGTGGTAGAGATATGCTGAATAAAGTATTATTTATACTAGCGTCTAGGGGAGACCTACTTATATACATACATACACATTATACATTTTTTATATTATAATCAATTTTAAATATTTTGTACTTGAATAAATAAATATTTTTAAATGTATTTATATTTTGTATAATTTTTTCAACATTAAATATTGTAGTTACTTAATTTACAAATTACACTCATAGATGGAACACTAACTTCGTTATTTTGATACAAATATAATTTTCATATTTGTATGATTGTATGGGATTTACATAAAGTATTTCAGCTTAACTGGATGTTGTGTGTATGGAATTCACAGGTCGTTTCTACGTACTTCTTTCTAGGTGTTTTCGTTTTCGATTGATCGTTTTGTTTCCTCGTTCGCATTAATTTTGAGTAGTTTTTGTGTAATTTGGACTAATTTTGTAATAAAGAACTAGAAAAAATGGACAGGTAAGTTTGATGAAGTGTTACTAGTAGTATATTTTTTATATATTATATTATAATAATATAGTTATTGTTTTTTTCTATTGGAACTAATAATAAATATAAGGTATAGGGTAAGTACTATAATATGTAATAAGGGGACAAAAAAATTTCGTTGTTTTAAGTCATTAAATCTTTAATAATATATAGTAATGTAATATAATATTAGTAATATAATATAATAGTTTATTTAAATAAATTAAAGTCTAAATAAAAAACATTTTGGCTTGCTAAAAAAGTTTGAATCATTTAAATCATTGGAAAAATACAAAAACCTGAAAACATACAGGGTCTAACAAAAAGGCAGGTCATAAATTAAATGACATGTATTCTGGGTCCAAAAATAGTTTGATTTAACCTAACTTACCTTAGTACAATTAATATGCATATATGAAAAGTTACAGCCCATTGAAGTTACAAAATGAAAACGATTTTTTCCAATATATGGAAAATTATTAGAGATTTTTTATGGAAGATGAAGAGGTGGCATTCTTATAGCAGGACCATCTAAAAAAAAACCAAAAATCCACCCCATATTTTAAATAATTAAGTAAGATTATAGAGACCTGGTAATAATATTAGGAAAATAATGTTCTATAATCTTCCTTAACCATTTAAAAATATGTATTGAATTTTACAATAAATGTTCAAAATATCTGGATGAAAACTGGCTTATCGAAAAAGCACTAAGAGGCAAAAAAGTTTTAAAAATCTTGTGTTTAACTAATGGTACCACAATAATAATTTAATTGTAATGTACATAAACATTTGGGGATGTTTAAAGGAATAAAGCCTTCATAAAATTTTCATGGGGTCCACAAATGTCACTTTTACTTTTTTTAAAGATGTTCCTGTTAAGAATGCCACAATAAAAAATCTCTAATAGTTTTCAATATACTTATTGTAAAAAATTGATTTTCATTTTGTTACTTCAAAGGTCTGTAACTTTTTCTAAGGTACGAACTATTTTAGTTGGTCCCAAATGTGATTTAATGTATGACCTGCCTTTTTGTTACACCCTGTATAGAGTGTGCAAACAGTTAAAGATTAAACTTTTTAGAACATTAGTGCCTTATTTTTTGCAAAATGGTAAAAAATGTTTAAAGTTTTGGTTTTTATATTTTTTAAATGTGTTAAAAGAGTAAACATATTTTTGGTTATGCATATTAGTTTTCATTATATTTTAATTTGCTTTTTAGATTTGTTATAAGAAAGAGAAAGAGATCTGAATCAGATCAAACTGAAGTACATGCCTCTACATCTACTTCTAACCAAGCAGGAGCATCTACTCCGAATCAAGCAGAAGCATCTACTTCTAGCAAAGCAGAACCATCCACCAGTAAATCCACACAGAATATATTAGAGGATTCATTGACAGAAAATGAATCTCCTACTATTACTCATGAGATTAAGGTAATTTTAGGTGAATGTTTAAATTTTTCTGTTATGTTTAAACAATCTTTTCATTTTAGAAAAATAAAAAAAAACCTATGTAAGGAAGTTTAGGGATTCATGGTTGACACAATTTTCTTGGCTTAAATTAGAATCCACTGGCCAGAAAATTTGCAAGGTCTGCAATAAGTCAATTGAAGGAAGTAAAACACATTTGGAGAGACATCAACAAAATTCCCGACATAAGCAATTATTAAGACAAGTCACAAGTACTGGTAATATAGAAAACCTATTACAAAACAATGAACAACATGCTTTTTTAACTTCCGTTAAAAAAGCAGAATATAAATTAGTTATGGGTCTTGTCGTAGAGCATAACAGTCCAATGTTAGTTATGGATCATGTGCCAAAATTGTTAGCATCAACAGTGCCGGATTCTAAAATCATTAAATCATTGGCTTGTGGCAGAACAAAAACAACAAACATGATTCATATGTTAAAAAGGGAAGCAGAATCAGTACTTATAACAAAGCTTCAAGGTACTAAATTTTCAATTATCATAGATGAAACGACAGACATATCTACAAGAAAATGTCTGGCAATTTTAGTAAGGTATTTAGATAAAACATCTTATAGTGTAATGGATTCATTATTAACTCTAGTAGAAGTGGAAGAATGTACTGCTGATGGCCTCACTTCTGCAATATTAAATGTTTTACATACTTTTAACATTAACCTGGAAAATGTAATAGGTTTTGCTGCAGACAATGCCTCTGTAATGATGGGGGAGTTTGGAGGTGTCCAAGCCAAACTGAAGGAGAAAATAAACACAAACATTTTCGTTCTTGGATGCATATGTCATTCATTGCATTTGTGTGCATCTGAGGCTAGTAAAAAAATTCCATCCTGTATTGAAGAGTTCATCCAGGATGTTTATAACTATATCTCAAGGAGTCCAAAAAGATTAAAAGTATATTCTCAGTTTCAGGAATTTTTAGAAATCAAGCCTCACAAGATATTAAAGTTAAGTCAAACAAGATGGCTTTCACTAGAGGTAAGTGTTGTTTTTTAAATATGTAAATACCATACATTAAAACACTTTTGTAAATATTTTAGGCTGTAGTAACCAGAGTTTTAGAGCAGTGGCAAGCACTGAAACTATTTTTTACTGGAGAAGCATTTGAGGAGAAAGATTTTGCAAGACCAAGTAATATATTGGAGAAACTTAATGATCCTTTATATGAACTTTATTTTACATTTTTAGCACACATTTTGCCTTTGATAAACAAACTGAACATTGAATTTCAGTCAGAGAAACCTAAGCTTCACCTGTTGTTTGAAAGGATCACAACCGTATATAAAACCATATTAAAATTTTATTTAAAAAGTAGATATGTTGACTCCAATAGTAATGTACTCATGATTAATCCTATCAATGTGGATGAGTATTTACCAAATGAGGAAATTTACTTAGGAACAAAAGTTGAAATTATCATTAAGAATAGCCAATTAAATAACACACATTTGTTACCTTTTTATAACAATTGTTTAAACTTTTATACTCAGCTTTGTTTGCAAATTCGTAAAAGATTTAAAAACCTCTCCAAATTTGAGAACCTTAGATTATTAAATCCGACAGAGCTATTAGAAAAGCCAATCTCTCTAATAAGCATAATTGATGAATTTCCCCAATTGGTAAATGGTAATATAGAGGACATTTCTATTGAAGCCAGGGAGATCTCTAGCTTGCCCATTTATTTAAAAAACAAATTAAGAAATCTTGAGTTTTCAGAATTTTGGTTTGAACTTAATAATTTAAAAAATTCAGCTGATGAGCCAATTTTTCAAAATATTTGTTCATTTGTATTTAATATTTTATCTTTACCGCACAGCAGTGCAGCTGCTGAACGGATATTTTCACAACTTAACCTAATAAAAAGTAAGACACGCAATAGATTAACTCCAGAGACATGTAACTCACTTTTAATGGCAAAAACTTTATTGGCAAAAAATAACTGTTATGAATGGGAACCGACAAATACACTTCTGACTAAAAATATTCAATACAATTAGGCATAAGTACTTGTTTTTTAAATTGTTATTTATAAATTAGTTATGTTGTTTTTGTTTTGACTCTAATGGGATATATTGATATGTATGTATATGTATATATTGATATGTAAATTACACTTGCACTGAATGTTCTTCATAAAAGACATCTTTGTATAATGGGCTTTCTTTTTACACAGATTATATATTTTTCTATATGCTGGGCACTGTCTTTAGAGATGTCGCTCGTCTTATCTTGCACAGGTATCTAAAAAGCTGACTTTTATTAACTTTTTCTTCTTCTTGACTTAAGCTTAATATGTTGTTTAGAGGTTTCAACTGAACTGATGATGAACTTTGTAGGACTCCTATCAGATTCCCTTATTGTCTTTGTTGTAGCCTTTTGTTTTTTAGTTATCACCATGTTTTGTATGCATTTTGTCTCTAATGACATATATTGATATATATTTAATATATATATATATATATATATATATATATATATATATATATATATATATATATATATATATATATATATATATACATCCCACCATCATTTTGAACTCGTTTCACGTTGCAGTAATTTAGCATCACCCAGAAATACTATCATATTCAAATTATAAGTCATGTATATTCGTTTAGTGTATCTTTTTAGGCTTGACATTGTTGTCAGTTTTTTAATA